TTTCATTGATCCCAGCCTTCCCTATCTTCCCTGAAATCCCCCACCCTCAGAAGTTTCTGGAAATTGAGGGTGCACTGGGAATGGTATCAAACTACAGGTGAAGAGGTTTGTTGTGAGAAATAGTCACCTTTAACATGAGTAAAAAAAAATAAGACGAAAGTCATGGTATTTAATTCTGAGACTCTTTCAATGTCAAATGTTCACTATATAAACTTACTTATTTAAGGTGACTACAGAAAGTAATTGTAGAAATTAAACTTTGAGATCTGCATCTACATCTTAACAAAAAATATTTTAAACATTTATTTGCACAACATTGATTTTCTATTGATTTCATTCTACTTACAGTGGCTGTTTCACCTTATACTTCTAATCAACCATCTTCAATTTTTAACTATGAACATTTTCTTGTGAAAATAACTATCAAAATCCATGTTACTAAACAGATATACTAGAGACCATTTTAAGGCAAACAAGATTACCAAATATTCTTTATTACTAAGAATGAAACTGGGCATAGACTCAATAAAAGTTAATAAAGATTACCAAATATTCTTTATTACTAAGAATGAAACTGGGTATAGACTCAATAAAAGTTAATAAAATTCAATGCCTGATCATATGCATGCTTACTCATAAACACTGTCATTTGATAGTTAATTACTAATTAAATATATAAATGATTGCAGCATCATAACAATATACATTGCTAATATTGTATATTTACAATAATAGCTCCCAATACTTTGATAATTCAAAAAATAAGTTCTTAGATAAAGTTACATTCTTTTCATTTTAGGAATGAACAGTAATACTTCAAAGTGGTACCCAGACCATAAATCCCTAACTGGTGATGTTCACATAAAAAACAAATAAGACAAATTGTATTAGTATAGAGGGGTTGCCAACCCCTTGGGCAGTTACCCTGGTTCATACAAATAAAAAGTTTAAGAACAGCAATATAGGCAGTAATTACTTTACAAATCCAGGTAGCATGCTGATAATCTTACGAATATTAAAGAGTCCATTTGTAAACATGTCTCAATCCAATTTCTCAGAGATGCCACATTGGTACTACTATATGCACAAATCTTCCCTTTTTCATTTGGAACTGTACTGTGAATGCAGTTCTGCTTACCCCATTAATAAACTACTGAAATAACTGTCAGAAAATATATAATACCTGGACACCATACAAATGTCTCCCACTTCAAGAACTGACTCATGTCAAATGTGTGCAACTCTTCCATATGAGATATTCAATGCACTTGTTTGGACTAACCAAAAAAAACCCCTTAGCTTTTCTCTGGTGGCATGGCCATCTTTTCTTTTTCAAACTCAACAATTTCATCTGAATATAGATGAGCTGTAATTCATCTTAACTGTTAAGAAAGAAAGAAGCAAATATAAAGTCAGTTTATCAAACAGGCTTGATTTCACTAACATGGTTAAATTAACCACAGTTAGTTTTATAATTTGGACAAAACGATAAAAAAATTCTTAATTTACAGTAGAAGTTTTCCACTTTGCAGTTCTATGGGAGGGAGGGCAGAACAGGGAAGATTTACCTTGTTTTGCTAATGCATTTGAAATGAAATCAATGAGATTCTCCTCTATAATATTAGAAATTAATTCTGTAAAAAACAGATTTTCAATAAGCTAAAAATCTGAAATCTAACAAAATCTGTTTCAACATGAAATAATTCCTCAAAATACAGAAGGCAGCTACTCAGATATACTCAAGTCCTAAATTAATTATTTTATTTTTGGTTTCCATTCTGGTCACCTTCAAAAGATTATTTTAAATAAACAATATTTTAAACCAGTCTGCTTTTTCTCCTATTTCTTTCTCTTTCTCTCTTTTTTGGCATAACTTCAATAAAAGCATAAACTAGTAAATACAAAATGTATTAAAATATACATAACAAATACTTTGAAAAATGAGCAAAACACTTCAGCTGTTATAAGCTACCACACACAATTAAATACAAACTGTACAATACAATGCACATTCAGATATACATCTATATTTGCTTTCAAAAGCCTATAACTTACTTTTCCATTCACAAATAAAATGCAAAGTTTCTCTCTCTCTTTATATATACATATGTTTTATATCACTATGTACACAATATATTGTGTTTTGGCGAGATGATACAAAACACAAAATTAATATAATTAGAATTATTGTGGTAAATACGAATTAAATGACAATACCATTTAAGCCATGTGAAAAAGACCCACAACGGTTCACACTTACTTTCTAATTCTTCATTCATTATAATACTGACTGTACATTCCATAACATAAAATACTCAGTGTTATCATACAGGTTCCACAAAAATATTAACTAAAATTTGGGCTGAATACAGTACAACAATGTTAACACTAGAAAGTTTTTTTTAATGCTGTTGCATTAAAATTTCAAATCCATCAAAACAGCCAGCAATCTCCAACAGCAAAAACACCAATAGAGAACTTTAACAATATAGTTAAGCCAAAGAAAACTTTTGTAAAGATCCCATCCCATGGTTCACACTTGTTGTAAGAATTAATCATGGGAAATTATCAGAATATGAACATTTTGAATAAACATTCTGGAAAAAAAAATACAAAGCTTTAGAGCAGCCACAGTAATTCAAATTTGTAATACATCATAAAAACAATAGACTGTGTTAAAAAGACTTTACCCATTGTAAAAAAAAACTTTCAAAGCCAAAACATTTCTGATTAATGATAGCATTGACCTATAGTTCAGTATTATTCATATTGTATTTTTAATTCATTTTAATTAAAAAACAATACGAATAATACTGAACTTTATTAAACTTTTATTAAACTTTGAAAATATAAGAGTTAAGGAGGCTTACAAAGCGTTGTTCACCCACATAGAATACACAAACATTCCCTTATCACTATGTCTTCATAGCAGAAACTAGATTTTATACAGGAAAAGCATATAATTTCCTAACTTTTTGTAAAAGCAGCAAGGAAAGATATACCTGAGCAGGAAAACAGCAAGGGAGGCCATTAACTCCTTTGCCCAGTCATTTTCACACTCAAATTGCTTCTTTTCAGGTGTTCATAATGGAAAGAGACTGTGTTTGAAAAGGAAACCAGGCCCAATGGAAAGGATTAAGAATCTCATTTCCTAAAAGAAGCCTAATCCCAATGCTACTGGAAGATTCATAATAATTTAATGCCACATTAATTGGAGCTTTGCAGAACAGAAACCAATGCCTCTAAGGACTGCTATTGTTGATCCATCTCTGTTGGTCACAGTAACTTAATCTGCTCTTAGTTTCCTTTGGGCTGTACAGTGGTTCAGCTCCCTGTTTTATTAAAGCCATTTTGGAGGCAGTAATGGTTATTTAGGTCAGTAATGTAGCACAAAACAACATTTTGTGCCTAGGCTCCCAATTCACTAGCCCATCAATTTCATGGCTATCAGGTAAATATGTAACCTTAGGCTTTTATTAAAAATGTGTATTTATGAAATGATTTATGTAGAAGTTGAATAATTTTACATTTACTTTCTCAGTATATCAGTTCAAATACCTGCTTCTATTAACCAATGTACTATCCAATCTCCAAGCAGTACAATATTGTGTGCATATTTACAGGTTCAAGATCTGTGACATTCTAAGGACTGGTACTCTGGGGTGTTCTGAACAGTAATAACTGGTCCATTTGATTAAATTTGTTTCAGTAGTAGCTTAAATTGCTGAACTGATTTGATAAATTCAGTATTCTTGAAAAATAATGTTTTGAAGATATTTTGTACCAATTGAAATACTATTAGACTGCTTTCTTTTCTAAAATAAGTTCTGGCAATGATTTTATACAGCAAATCTCCCATGAAATATTAAGACCTTTTGTTTATGAGCTAAACACAGAAAACTTTGCAAAACTTTGCAAGAGTATTACTGATAGAAATTTGGATGGCTTTTAAAAATGTGCTTATAGAGAAATTAATGGTTTCATTTACATTTCAATGATAAAGCAAACTACAAAAATATACTCCTACTTTTCAATTTTAACAGAATGGGTTTAAATTGCCAGTAGGAACGTATGACTTTGGCACTTCCAAAATCTGGATGCTTGGATTTCCTCCCAATGTATAACTTGCTTATCTTTAGACAGAAATTAGCCTATGATTTATTATTGTACACTTATGACATAAAATCTATATTTAACATGACAGCTACAGTTCAATGTAATATTGGTGCTCAGGGAAACTTGCAAATATTCTAGTGCATTGTTTTATGTTGAACTGGCTACACAATTTCTTGAATGTATCATTTCTTTACCTTAGCAAAAATAATAGCAAAACTCAACTTGCTCTCAAAACAGTTTTTTGCAGTTTTGAAGTTTTCCATACTTACTTAATTCACTTGCTCAGTTTCTGATTCTTCCAAAATTTAAGAAATGTGGGTAGAATGATGCAGTATTAATTAGTAATATACTAAATCTGCTTGTTGTTTTTTTAAAAAATAACTTAGACATTTATCAGAAACATCAAAATATGATTTTCTCATTTCTGGCAGTTTTGGTTTCTGAGGTGGGAGTTCTTTTAGCTGCTATGCTTAAGTTTATTTTTAAGTTATTTAGTTTAAAATATGTATGAACCTAAATACTGTAAGGCTTAATAATTTTCATGTGAATGGCACAAGTAGTATTTCAAGATACAAGTATACATATATTTCAAGAATCAGGGTGGGGGAGAAGTGTTGTAGCTATGCTGAAATCTTAAAAAGAGTAAACCATTCATAGCTACATACCAATACTTGAATCTTAATATAAAAAAGATACCATAAATGTAGAAGGCGTGACTGAAGTCAGAAGTTTCTCCAAAAGATTGTTAAAATATCACATTAAAAGAGACAAAGAACTTCAAGAAAACGTCTAAGAAAAGCAAGCTGTGATACAACAAGCATTTGTTAAGAAAAGCTCAGAAGTGCATTAGTTCTGGTGAGAGATATAGGAGCAACAGCTCTTACGAGATGTAGAGCCCATTCTGTAACTATGAGCTGTCCATATACTGTCATAGTCAGAGTCTTCAGAGAGGTCGGAAGGCTCCAAACGAGAAAGGCTACTGCGACGACCCAAGGAATCTAGACTGGATTGGTCATCATCAGCCAAGACGTGATTATGCATCAGGTCAGTGCCTTGCCATGCTAAGGATGTATGGATGAAATGAAAGGGAGGATGGAGACAGGCAAAGGTGTGATGAGGAGGAGAACATACAGGATAAGCCACAACCAAAACAGATGAAAATAAAAGCAAAGGTGATGGGAAGAAAAGGAAAAGAGAAAATATTGTTAAAAAAGCACCAAATCTTTTAAATCCCTATTTTGGTTGGGTTTTATCTACAAAATATATTTGGCACATACATTTAAAAACAAAAAAAAGGGGAACTCTCTGAATTTTACTCTCTTGCTTAGAATGTGCATTTGCTTTCATGTTGCTTTTAATGTTCTAAGAAACCATGACTTTAACATGAAGTTTTTTTAAAAGTGGGAGAAACTATTACATTAGGATTTTTTTTTTAAGTCTTTTGAATTGATTCTTAAAGTTGGGCTAGATGGTATTTCCAAGAAGGGGAAAAAAAATCTGCTCAAGAATGCGATATGAACTTCCCCAACTTGCAACTTGAGACATTGGGAATGCAATACATTTGGAGAATGTGCAGATTAAAAAAAAATACTACTTAGCCATATTTAGTACATTTGGTACATTTTCCCCTTAAAAACCAATTTTGATCATAGCTTTCTGTATACATCTATATCTGGAATAATTCCCTAAGGAGATCTAGAAGAATGCCCTTATGAAGAAGGAAATTAATGACTAGGAGCTGTTAGCATTTTGCCATCCTACACAAAATTCCTATCAGAAATTATTGTCATAAGTACTTATTTTTATAGAAATATTCCAGACCAGAAGCACGGGAGAAAAAATTTAACTGGTTCAGGAACTTTTAATTTAAAGAGAATATGCAAATATGAAACAATTTTCAAACTGAAAAATGCCAAGAGAAACTGAAAATTATTTATCCAGGTAGCTAATACTAATCAGCTTGATTTAGTGAAAATAAAGACATAAGACACTTAGGCCCAATTTGCATATACAGTCAGTATCCAAAATAGTTGTACCCAGGCATTATCCATCTAGTTGGAGCCTTTTAGTGACACTAATATGAATTCTTCAACAAAGAAGGTTTGCAGTAGTTAAAACTGTAAGTTACATGGGGAAATATGCTCACTGAGTAGCTTGCCAAATAGAATTTGCTCATTCTCCTTAGGTTCTCAATCCAGCTTTCCATAGGCTGTACATGTGAAAAGGGCCATTTGAGACTGTCCTAAATGTCCCTTTCACTTCTATAGAAGATGGAGTTGGGCATGAGTGAAACAAAACCGGAAAAATCACTGTGATATTTAGGACAAGTTACTACTGGATTTTCTTACTGCTTTTCCAATCCTTTCAAAATTATATAATAGCCTTTTCACATGATAGTAGAAGACTTAACAGGCCTATAATTGAAATCCTGTAATTATCTGTTCAGTGAAGAAACATATTGTCCACATATAATGAAGGAAAAAGACCATTCTGTTGCAGGGGGAAAATATGGATATCAGCTATATTCCCTATTTCCTTACAAAGTGAAATATATCAAAATCAAGAAGTGCGGGGAAGATTTACAGGAGAAAAAGAAACAAAGAAGAGGAAAGCTGAAAACAATTCATAAAACAAATAATAGGGTAGCCCCTACTAGCTAGTTATTCTTGGATGGATATCGTCATGGTAATCCAGGACTTTAGGCTTTTGGTTCTGAGATATCCAAAATCACCTCAGAAAGTTGCAATGCACAACACTACTGTTGCCAGAAACAATTATATGGAATGGATGGATATTGTATGTCCATGTAATCATGAGGAGTTGAGCTACACTTACCCTCTACAGGACACTATATAAGCTCTCCTGTGTTGGAGATCCATAGCACAGGATTCAAATAGATAATTAACATAAAATTCTTAAATATACAATGAATTAATCAAAGCAGTTTAATCCAAAAAATATAACATCTCTTTAAAAGTAAGAGACTAGTGGCATGTGCAATAATATTCCATATGATAATTTTAACTGCAAGGAATGGCATATTACCCATGCAAAAGTATTTCTTTTGTTCCATCAAAAAGGTGAAACTCAGGTGAAAAATTATGTGTGGATTGGGCTCAAAGAAGCAGAATATTCTTATCTTGTGAAAAGGCCCATAGAGATACAGTTATATGCAGAGGTTTAAGCATCATGCTCAAATTGTATGACTCCTTAAAGCTGATACAACTCTCCATGGAACAAAATTAAAAATGACATATCTTTGCAAATTTGAATGTATATTTGCTATATAAAACAGAACAGTGAATATGACAGGTACAGAAGTTTGGATGTCTTTCCAGACATTTTTTGTAATCTGCCTTTGGCAGAAATAATAGCTTCTGTATTTTTCTGGTAGCCTAATGTAATATGTATGACACCTCAGCACTCGACTGCTTCAAAACTTGTTGAATTCGGGGTTCAACGCGTTTTGAAGCAGAAATCTTTCCCATCACTCATCTTTCTCCCAGTAGTCAATGCACAAGGAAGAACCTGCTGGTGTCAGGTGCTTTGTGGCTCACTATTTCTTCCATCTGAAATTGTGGGTCATGTAATAAGTCACATGGCTATTCAGTATTCATTGCATCTTTCAGAACAAATTATCAACAAGTACCAAGGTACCACTGTATAGCGTTTTATAGATAAAAATAGGTTGGATAATTTAACAAGACAATGCACCAAAACATACTTTCAATCCATAAAGGTAGGCCAGGTCAAGAACCAGGCACTGCAGGAATTATAGAATGCTACTTATTATTGTAAAGGACATAACCCTAAAATCCAGCCAGAATTTCTTTCTGCCTCTTTTTATACCAAGCAGACCCAAGAAAGGGTTGAGTTTCCTTCCCAAACTTTCTCCTTTCCCAGAGTTTAGTTTTGTCTTATTTTTCCTTAATTGCTCCTGCATGTCTTCTTCAAGGTTATCTATGCATTTATCTACATCAAAGCAACAAGAAGCATTAACAGGAAAGGAAGATAAATATTTATATACTATACTGTGTCTTTCCTGAAAATCTTTAGGACCATCTCAAACATGCAATCCATGTAAGAGACCTAATAACATTTGTGAGCTAGAGAAGATATTTAAGGAACAGTGAGAATAAAGTCTTAAAGCATTAACAGAGAGAGTATTAGCTGACTACACATATTTGAAAACTTGCAGGAAGACTGTAGCAAGTTTTGCATTTGCCATATTCACTTTTTTTCATTCTGAATTAGTAAACAAGTACCCATAAATAGTACAGATGCATTCAATTTCACAGAAAAATGTCATTTACTTCTTATAGTAGAGAGTTACATGCATCAATTTCTGTTCCCTTGGGGATTCAGCAAATTGTAGTTTCACCAGATTACCTAAACGTTTGCATACAACTTTGTTGTCCAGCTAGAAGGGAGATGTAAAGAAGAAACAGGTGAAAGGAAAGGAAAGCCATCTGCTAGTACTTCTCTCCAAATCTCCTCTCTCAAGTTATTTTCCAAATGTTTCTTTATATGAAAATTTAAAAGTATCTTCTGTCCTACCTCTTATGGTTCATCCTGTCATGCTGAACTTGCATTTCCCAGCAGCACCTCCAAAATGACAAAAGGATGATGCTACTAGCAGAATTGCCAGATCTGCACTTTGAGGAGCAGGCAGAATGTCAACATAGAGGTAAAGAGACACTAAAGGATACTGAAACATGATCTAATCTCCTAGACTCAAAATAAATTTATTTATAATGCCTAATCTCTTAAAATACAGTATAGTATTTAGGAACCATTATATACAAACCAGCCAATCTTCCCAAAGTACAAGACCAACTCCACTTGCTTTTGTGAAGTTCTGTTAAATTGCATGGGGATAGATTTTAAAAATAATAGTTTAAATAAAATCAGCAATCTTAAAAAAAGAAGCCGTGCAACAAATTGCTATTATCATTTTCTATTGCAGAGAAACACAAATGAAAGCAGTAGATTTTTTTGATGTATGCAATGAAATTTCTTGCACTATGTATACTTATAAAATATACATAGAAAGGGGGAAACAGCAAAAAGCATTTTGCACTAGTTCTGTGTCTCAGTAAGGACACACTTGCATTACTAAAAAGAATATGCTCACATTAAGACATCTGTCACCTTATACATATTGGTATATAAAAATATAATTAAATGACAAGCACCAACTTAGCACAGTTGTACCATTTGAAGCATTACCAATTCATTTTGTCCCACTCAGTTCAGTTATCTATAGAATCATAACTCAGTTAATTGCAGGGCTAGTATCAAATTAAATAATAATGTCTGATTTAGAAGAGAATTGTAAAAAGGCCTGTACAAGAAGACATAAAAGAATCAGTGACAATTTTATAGCAATGAGTACCAATCATGCGTGCCTATGGTTCCATAACAATACAAAATCTTTTATTAAGGTTCTAGGAAAAAACCCTCAGTAAAACAAAAGTAGTTTTAGAATAATTAACCCTATTATTAAAAAGTCAAATTCAATTCACATGATACACAAAAGAGCTTTAAGTGATGTTCTAAAAAACAAAAAAAAGAATGTGACAGTTAACTGTCAAATATTAGCACATAAATTATTGTCTACAATGCATATTGTCTAAAATCTAAAACCAAAATAAGCATTAGGGAGAATTACTGGACAAAAAACCCCATTAATGTCTATACCGATTTCTTCCTGTACAGACCGACTGTGACTATTCTGATATAAAAATAGCTTTAACTGCTGACCACTTTCATCATTAATGGCAAAACTGTGCAAACTGATTTAAATCAAGAAGAGTATTCCTTAGGTACAGGTTACACATGCGGGCAGATTGTCTGATTAGGTGCAATGCTTTACTTACAACAGAGGATCTCCACCACTGCAGCCTTGTTTAAGATTAAAATAATCTGGGTCCCCAAGACACAGTGAAAGTTGAGCATGTATCTGAGTAACTGAAAATAGCAGTTTTGCTCAATATATAAAATGTTTAAAAATATAGAATAAAAAGATATTAATAACTATAATAAAAGCAATTTTTGCTATAGATGGATTTTTCTGTCATATGTCTCATTCCCATTTTTGATAGAAACAACCACAGTAAGCCAGATTTTGGGGAACCCTGACTTACCATGAATGAGCTGTGTGTTAATTAATACAGTTGTTCACTCTCACCTGGCTACTCCTACTAGATTGAGCAGATAAATTAATAAAAAATTGTTCATTTAGCACAATGCTTAGGGTTAGGACTTCTAAAAAACGACAAATGAATAAAAGGCTGCACTGGTGGCAGATAAATCCTTGGAAGACAACTGGAGATATATCTGTTATGCCTCCTTTCTTATACAGTACCAACACAACCACAAGAACACATTCACTAATGCAATGCAGACAGAGCCTGATCCAAATTGTTGGTTCACCATTGCTAACCGTAATGGTAAAACAACAAGCAGGAAGTGGGGGAAGGGGCCTCAGCCCTCCAGAATGTTATCAAAGCTATGCAACTTGAAGGCTGCCTTTCTGCAATTAAGCATGTTAATTAAACCTTGAACCTTTTGTGCTGTTTTTTATACAAATCATAATTATACGTTAACAGTTCAGAAAATCTAGTTTGCAAAATGTAAAAAAAATCTAAGCCAAGTTTTCAAATTAGATACTAAAATTAAAGCATTTCGGAAATGTTCAGCAGGAAGACACTGACTCAAGAGCTCATACATAGTAAGCCGAAATTTCCCAGAATAGTGGTCTGTCATTCTTATTTTAAACAGAATTTTAAAAAACAACTTTTAAAATGTAAACCATATCAAGCATTTAATATTTACTATTATAAGAGAGATTTGGCTTAAATAAATTAAAAACAACTGAACCAGTCAAGCAAGATTTATTCACTAGCTGTACTATTTGAAAACTTGTATGTGTCTAGCTAAGCAGCAACCCTGGCCAATTTTGAAAAACTAAGCAAGGCCATATCCAGTTTGTAGTTGGATGAAAAACCAGGAAAGATCCTAAAAATAAAAAAAGCAAAACCCTGTAAGAAGGCAAAGGAAATCACTTTTACATTAAGAAAATTCCATGGATAAGTCTAAGATTTAAGTTTTATTCAAAGAAGTCTACCTTTACTTAAATATTGCTATAATAAACACATTCTTAGGGTCGAGTTTGGAAACTTCTGTGATGACATTATCATCCATGTTCACTACTACTAAATTAAGAATACATAATTATTATACATAAGCATTAGATTAGAACAGAAATGTTCAGAGTGTTGATTCTCACTTTACAGCAAAAAAAGAGACATATTCTCAGCAGAGACATTATCCATGCAGTATCAGGAGCTCTATTCGTTTTCTGTGGGAGTGACCTCTTTTCAGTCCGGAGGAACTGCTCAATGTACTCCATGATGCAGTAGAGAAGTGAAAGAAAGTCCCAAAAAAGCCTTCCCCAACCTGTTGTCCTCCAAATTTACTGGATTCAGTTCCCATTGCCAAAGCAGTGTCAGTAACCATACTGCACAAACATTCAACAAATCTGGAGAACACTAGATTAGAAGAAAATGCTTGTGAAACACTCACTGCATAAGAACATGGTCTGAAATCTGGCTCATAGGACAAAGGGAAAGGCATGATGTTGACAGTGGCATTCATTCAGCTGTCTCACAATAAAAATGGTGGTGTTTGTGAGCCGATCAAGAAAATGCGTACCTACCTTTTTGAATGTCAAGTAAAGAATGCCTCCAATTCTAAACCAAAAAGAAACTATGCCTTAGGTATTAAAATGTTTGCAAGAACATTTTTTTTAAATTAGAATAGTAAACAACAAAACCTAATAACCTTTCAGTAAGTATAACTGAATGGTTTAATGAGATGGTGAATGCACTAAAAATGAACAACTTCAACTAAATTGTTAGCATGTATTATTCAAAAAATTCAGTAAGACATCATAGCAGTGTTGCCAACACGTACATTTCTTACTGCTAAATCTGGGAATCGTAAAGCACATCTAAAAGATCAAAGGATCAGTCAACATTGCAAACGCACATTTGCTCAAGTTCCTAATGAATTTATGTACTATTTTCATCACACCTCACTTTTCAGACCATACAAGCCACTGACAACAATAAACACAAAATTTAGCAAGCAACTGCTAGATGGCTAAGATAATTTTTCTATTCATATTTTTTTTAAACTTACTTGAGTTTAATGTTTGACGTGTTTTGGCACTTGTGCAATAAGCTTCAATGACTTTTAGAATCTGAGCATCTTCTTCTAATGCCGCTGTACCTATGAAATACCCAAAAGATATTATGCTGGATACTGAGACTCAAAAATAAACACTGTGATTGACAATTTATACCTAATCCTTGTTTAAGAACAATTGGGACTGGTCATTCTGGCACTAATTGATGCAGTCCTTAAGTGAAACACCATGTGATCCCAATTTTCAATTTTACTGCTGGCTTCTCTATTGACTCTGCTTGTCGGAAGTTGGCTGTGAAATGTGCAAATGGTGATAACGAGACTGCAGGATGCTGCAACAATCACAAAAGCTCACTGGTAGCAAAGGGCCCAAATCACATGATCCAGGGATGCTACAACAATTGTAAGTGCAAGGATCAGTTGTAAAGATACTTTTTCAGTGCCATCACAACTTCAAATGCTTTCTAAACAGGGCAGCTGATTATAAGGAGTACCTGTAATCATAGGTGTTTCTGAAGTGTCTTATTACAGTAATATGATAGAATTTTGGATTTGGTAACAGTAACTTTCTAGATCTTGACACAGTAATCTATTTTATAACTGTTTAATAGATGAAGATATGAATTGTCAATCTGCTGACATTCAAGAGAGTCAGCAAATAAATTAGGGAAATTTACTGCTTCTCATTTTTTCAAATTGGGAAACTATGATTTAACTTTTTGGGGGGACGATATTAAATTAAAATGCTATGCTATTCCTATTATTTAAGTAATAACCATAACTTTTTTGTGCAGCTGTTAATAAAAATAAGATCACCAACATGATCGCCAATGTCCGATAATGGATATGGCACAAGAAGAAAGAATAACCATAAAACTCTTGGTAGTATAAATCATATATGATTTTTTAAAATCAGAGTAAAAGATAAGCAGAAGTCAAATTACAATTTGCATACAATCTAAAACCAGAACACTTCACACAAAGAAAATTAAGATAATATCACCTTAACTAAGCTGTAGGAACTGGGACAAGTCAAATTCAATAGTGTGTGCCCAATGATGAAGAAACATTCTTTAACTTCGGTCTCCCTAATTTCATGCAAGCTACGAATCACAAACACAAGTCCCATCTTGGGATTTGTATCTTGGGTTTGTATCTTAGGTTGATGCTAGCTGAAAAAGCTTATCCTGGAGTATCTCAACACTAAGTCACATCGTGCATTACCATTTGTAAACAGCACAGTAAATTGTTCTGGAATTCTACTAATGATCAATCCAGGGTCCATATCACAAGTCTAATGTACTACTCAAAACCTGAGGGGACAGAACTGAATTATGTAGTTGTGCTGCAAAAATACAGGCAGTGTTTTCTTGAGATTTTACAGTAATTTTAAAATACATTTAACTATTTTCAGAAGTATGCAACAACCCCAACCTTCTCTTCTAATCTTTCTCAACTCTCTTCTCTTTAGTTTTAATTGGTGTTTTAAACCACTGAACCTTACCCCAAATGTGCTTTTTTCAAAAGGCAACTGGACTTTCTTTGTTTTTTTCCCCTTTTGACAATGTTTCACTTCTCACTAAGAAGCTTTTTCAGTTCTAACTGATTGGTGGGGAATGGAAGGATTTATATTCTTTGCAGCCATCTGCTCATTAGCACTCTTGAGAGTTGTTGAAGCCACTTGGGGCTTTATCTGTATCCCCAGAGTCACCTGAATCAGAGTGTAAATGGGTATGGAAACTTTTTAGGACTGCTCTGATTCAGAGGTGACCCTGAGGATACAGATAAAAAGCACCTCTGAGACAACCATGACCTGGATGATTAAGACTCTCCACAGACAACTGCTCACTGTCCCTCCACTTCACCTAAGACCTTTTAGATTAAAATAGTCCTGTTTAGGATAGTTAACTCCTTTCTGGCTATAAAAATACAGCTGTTTTATTCAACTAATCCTGAATTAAGTAATTTGAAAATTTGCCTATCAAATTTTACTTTTTACTAGCCAATACTAACTTATTGGTGTTTAACACCTAAGGATATTGTTTGTGTTTTGCCTAGATTTATAAAAGGGAATTAATCTTTCTCATTTGTTAGCAACAATTTCATGAAAAGACATACTACATTGAGGGGAAGAGAAGACAATAAATGGAATATTAGGTAGTATGAACAATAAATAAAATGAAACTTCATTTTAGATATTCTGTATGACATCAAATATATTCCTATAATAACAAATAAAGCTTTTTTGACATAACAAGATCTATCTAATCTAATCTTTTTGAATTATTTGTTTTATTAAGTCTTGTAATATGGCTATATATTCCATTTCCTACCTGTATATCCCATTTCCTATGACATAACAAGATCTATCTTTTGGGATATACAGCCATATTACAAGACATAATAAGATCTATCTTGTTATGTCCTAGGAAATAGAATATATAGATAGGAAATGGGATATACAGCCATATTACAAGATTTAATAAAACAAATACATTCAAATGAATTAGATTACCATGATGCATAGTGCAACATAAAAGAACTAGTTTTCTCTCATCCCTCCAGAATATACTTACTTTTTCTCAGAGCAAATTCTTCTTCTGATGGTTTCCGTTCTGGTTTTCGCTTGGGCAGCAGTTTTTTCATGGTTTTCGGGCTTTTGCTGAGATCCTGTTTGGATTTTTTAAAAACACACATATATATATATATATATACTATATATAACTGACATTTATATATAAAAGTTCAAAACATGAAGATATGTCAATGAAACAGTGATTTGTTATTAAAAATTCATTACAACACACACACAAAGATCATCACTTTAATGATCTTAACATGGAAATCAACATAGAATGATGTGTATGACAAGGTGATACAATATCATCTATCCTTTTCACAGCCTGCCTTGAAGAAGTATTTCACAGTCTAGACTCAGCAAAGGTAGAATAAAAATCAATGGCACCTATTTAAATCACTTAAGATTTGCAGATGATTTGTTCTCTTCTCACATGACCCAGAAGAGTTACAAAGAGCTGCACAAAGCAAAATTATTTGGCTTAAAAATAAACCTGAGAAAGAGCCAGGTTATATTTAATACATTTACTAAAGAAAAAATAAATTATATTTGCAGAAGAACTACATGTAGATCACTACATATACCTTGGCCAACAGATCTCAATCAGTATGAGTGATACCTGTTCTAACTTATGCCAGCAAAACATGAATACTAACCTCACAATCGATAGAAATGCTAGGAGTGGCACAAAAATATATGGAAAGATACATGCTCGGCATCACAAGACAAGATAGAAAGACCTGCACATGGATTAGAGAACAAATGAATGTATATGTTGTCATCAAAAGAGTAAAAGAATTGAAATGGAAATGGGCTGATCATGTAGCAAGAAAAACTGATGGCAGGTGGATCAAAGTAGTTATAAAATGGATTCCACTTGATAAAAAGCATCCATAAAAAAAGACCTAAAACAAGATGGAGCTACGACATAAGCAAGTATTATGGGCCCAATTGGCAAAAGAAAGCTGGTTGGAAACATGCAGAAGAGGCCTTCATCCTACAGTGGATAGACAATGGATAGGATGATGTTGATCATGGTGATGATGATGTGTGTGTGTGTGTGTGTGTGTGTGTGTGTGTGTGTGTGTGTGTGTATTCAGTGGTTAGCAACCCACCCACCCCAACATATGTAAGGGAACTCTTAAATAGAGGCTGAAAATAGCTGTTTATCAAAGGGGGAATAAATTTATTTACAGTCCAATACCAGCCATATAAAGAATATTAAGTACTATAAATTAAAAAAAATTACAGGAGCCAGAAACAGTAAAACACAACCCAGAGTCAATGTATGTTTGGTAACTATATAAATTTGTTTAATAAATAAAATCTGTAAAACAGTTTGGGGAGGACGATACCAAATGACCTCTGTAGGCTATAGCTCCTGACAGACATTTTGCAGCTTTCCTGGAGGTACATGGAAATTGATTACATAAAGGCAAACAATACCCAAAGGTAATCCTAAAAATGAATACATTTTCTGACAACTGGTATCATGAAATCTGTCTGCTTTTGAGTGTACAATGGGCATTTAACAATATATGTAACACGGATTCCACTTCTGCTTCAGAACATATGCAACTTTTCATAAGGGAGGCTGATGCAGATGTGGCCAAAAAAAAGCATTGGTACACATTTACTTTTCCCTAAACAATCCCAATTTGCCATGAGTTTAAACTGACATAAGTAAGTGGTATCCAACCTTATTTCATAGTCCATACAGCAGACATTTTCCTTGTGATGTATGACTTAATATATTCTTGTAAAGAATAAAAAATAAAGGACTGTAACCAATTTTACTGGACATGGCCACAAGAGGAAAACTAATCCCAGATTATACAGAATACAAATTCACAAGTCACAATCTTTCTGTGAGAATATCCTTTGGACAAATGAAAACAAAACCAGATCTTTTTGTTAAGTCACAGCTACTCTGTTCACATAAGTATAAATTTTAAAAAAACACATCATTCCTACTGGAGCCATGGAGGAAGCTCTATAATATTATGGGATTTCTTTTTTGCCTCCTGCACTGGGTACCTGTGCAGGACAGAATGAAACCAGAAGATTATCAAGGCATTCTGGAGTGAAACATAATGCAGTGTCTTAGAAAGCTTTGTCTCAATCGTAAGTCATTGGTTCTGCAACAGGATAGTGATCCAAAACATATATCTAGCTGAACCCAGGAGTAGCTCAAAAGCAAACAACTGACTTTTCTGAAGTGACTGCTAGGAGTCCTGACCTGCAATAAAGCATATAAGAACTGAAACTCAGAGTTGGGAGAAAGAATCCATCAACCTAACATGGCTGAAACAGTTTGATCAATGAAGAGTGTGACAAATTGCCAATTAAGAAGTTAAGTTTTACTCAGAGCTACAGAAAGTACTTGACTGCAGTTACTGCCTCAAAAGAGTATGCCACAAAATACTGTGTTAGATTAGTATATTTGTATATTTTAATGTATATTTGCCCATTGTCACCTACCAAGTAGCATGTCAACTAGAACCAGGGAATAAACTTTCATTTGTAGTCAAATAATATGTTGAAAAAATATCTAGTGATAGTCCAGGAAGAGAGGGACATTTCACTGTAATAAGCATGGGAAATTCTAACTCTAATTAGAATGTTTTGGTCCCAAATCCACTGTTTAAAACCAGCTAACACTTTATTAAACATGAGGAGAGTTACTGCCAGAATAAGAAAGACATACTACGCAAGCCATGGTTAGTTTATCATTTCAGAGAGAAAACAAGTCAATCTGGTATGGTAAGATGGATCAAGAAAGAAAGCTGAAGAGTTTGCTTTGACCACAATCCAAGATGTCTTCGATGAGCTCCAAAGAAAATGCAGCCCAATTCTAACCACATGAAAGCATTAAGAGACCCATTTGATTGCTTTTAAGAATTTTGGTTGGATAAAGCTTGAGGTATCTTTGTGGATGCAACACTGAATATGATATAACATCAAACTCAGAACTTTCATTTTAAATAATTTAACCGCTGCTAGGACATAGTGGTAATCATATAGGCTTCATTATTGCATATACATTTCTTACTATAAAAACATAAAACACCAAGAATTCTCTGCTGATCACACCATTCTTAGAAGAATGGCTGAAATTTCTCCTGTCAAAATCATACCCATCTCTTCATAATTACATGTGACTTGATGTTGGATGAAGGCTAGTTCAAAAGTTTTATAAAGCTGCAAAGAATGTACATGGATAGAATTAACAACAAGCATGGGATATTCATTCTCACCTCTTTATAACAGAGCGCAGCTGAAGGCCTTAACGGAGGTGCAGGTCGTAAACAGCTCAAACTCCACGGCTTAGAAGTTTTAGGTGGCTCCAGTGGTCCCCAGTTTATAGTGGTATGAGGTGTCCCATGATGTGAAGGGTGTGGAAGGGTATGATAGACAGGAGTCATCGGCATTTGCTTGCTATCTGCATGCTTGCTAGATGGTGTTACAGGATGAGATGGAAGCTGCCATTTGAACAACGGAATCAGAAAGGACCAAAAAAAATTGAATACAGTGAATATCATCTGATTATGGATGTTGGCCGTATTCTCATGAACAATAACACTACCTTATTTATGTTAAACTAGTAAGTAAAAGGTAAAGGACTCCCTGCAGATTTTACTCCGCTAATTGTTGCTGACTGGGGGGGTGGGGGGGTGGAATGCTCATCTCCATTTCAAGGCCTTTGAGCCAGTGCTGTCTAAAGACATTTCTGTGGTCATGTGGCCAGCATGACATCATGGAGCACTGTTATATACCCACCAAAGTGATACCTATTTATCTACTCACATTTGCATGCTTTTGAACTGTTAGGTTGGCAGGAGCTAGCACAAGAACAGGAGCTCTCCCCATCATGTGGCACTCAGATCTTGAATCTGGGCTGCCGTCTTTCCAGCTGACAAGTCCAGCATCTTAACCACTAAGCCATCATTCTGTCCTGCTCAACTAGTTATTACTGTTAAAAATGCAGCAAGAACATGCAATGCTATATGTATTGGAATTTACGTTTCCTTCAACTCTGTTGCATACAAATGTTAACAATGAGTTAATTTAATAATAAAAATACATTTGTCAGTATATATGACAATGTATATGTATATATTACTGGAACTTTGTAGATCAAGCAAATGATATAGCTACTTTCCATGTGAGTATTACTAGGTCCACAAAAGGGTAAAGTCAATAAGGAAAATAACTCTGCATATTTTTTCTCAGCCTGGATGACTTTTGTCTGAAGACACCAGCAAAGTAGCAAGAGATTCGGCTATATTTGACACAATCCTTTCTTACATAAATAAATCACAGTCATTTCACCAATTATTTATTCAATTTAAAATTCTATTGCTAAATGCTCAGTAATTTTATCACTGCAATTTAATTATCAGCTTGTGTCATTTATAATATAAATGTTTTCTTCAGTAGCTCCTTCATAATGGATTGGGCCTCTTTAATTTATAAGTAACGGACTAAAGGCAGATATCCTCTTACCGTATGAGAAGGAACAGAATGTGGTTTAATTGCAGGAGTTCCAACAGTTGTTACTTTGGTTTGTTTCTGAAGATGATCTACCCACTCATTCAAATCTTGTTGATTATTACAAGATACCAATATCCGCTCTATCATATTGCCTAGAAACAAATAGAAAATGCTGAACAAAAAAGTAAAAGAAATAACTAAATTTTAAAAATTATATAAAGCTGAATTGTAATATAAGGTATAGAAAATACCCATATATCTTAATTCTTCTATACCTATGCAATACATTAGGTGGTCTTCACCACATTATAGTACAAGAATTCGTGATAACTATTAATACCAAATTTATGTTCCTGCTTCCAAGAACTCTGAATATGTGTAATACCTGGCTTTAAGATTTGTCAGAAGGTTGCAAGTACAAATTCATGCCTGGAACATCTTTGCAAGGGGTTGCCTTATTGACAACTACTTGACCTTTAAGATGATGGGCATTTCTTATATTCATCAGTAAACCTTAGAAAATAGTTGCTAATTTAGTAATCTGCGAAAACTCATTGGTTGCCAGTACATTTCCAAATACAGGCCAAAGATTTTTCTTCTAAAATCCTAAAAATCTCAAATGGTACTTACTCCTATAATGCAAGATCAGCTAAGAAAGTTATGTTCCAAATGCTAGTACCTTTGTTAGACCATTAAAGATTTGAAAGAAGATTATTTCCTGCAATGCCCTTATTTCTTCAGTGTTTTTATAACGTATCTTTCTCTAAACCTACAAATTAATGGAGTTTATTCTAGCTGTTGATAATATGCTTTGATTAGTTTTAGATTACATTACACTTTTTTCTAGGATACCTTTTAGTTGTAATGAACCCTATTTAAAGAGAAAATATACATACATACATTTAAACTAAATAAATTTTAAGTGGGATAATGCAAAACTAGAGAGCTTATACTATATTGCTGCTGACTTAGCAGACTTCCAACAGGTTTAGAATAGCCTTTCTTCTGCCTGAAAAAAAGAGTTTTAATACCCACATACACCAGCCTGTTAGACCAGTGGACATGTTTTCTGGAGATTATGGATTGAAGAAAACCAAGATGGAGAACAGTAGTTTAGAAAATGAACAGGTGATAATTCTGGTAACATTGTTTGCTATATATTCACAAAAAAGCCCAGAATAACTAAAACATTACCTGATATTTCAAATGCATTTCTGTGATTTTCACTATCTTCTAGTTTTGTGATGGTCATCCCTGTTAATGGAAGCTTTCCCTAAAAACAAATGTACCATTATTATTTCAATTAATCCATCAAATATTACTGAATAATAAAACATACAGAGGAAATTTTATCATAACTGAAGACATACATTTTGATACTGAAGAAAGTTCTAGATGCCTAGACATGATGTTTAATGATATATTTATTTATCTAAAAAGCTTTTGCATAGCAAGATCTTAGTTAAATGATACAAATGGTTCTACAGTTTGAAGTAATAGTTTAGGTCCACATATAATTATATCTGAGTTATGTCCATTGAGGTAAAACTCTAGTCACAAGAATAAACTTCACATGCAGCTTAAGTGTCCCTTCCTCTTCCCATCCACCCTCCTCATTCCCATGAACTGTCCCACACATGGTTGAAATCTGTTTTGGAAAAAAAAAATCAAAGCAGAATTAAAGAGTGTATGGAGAGGAGAAAATGAATAGTATCTTGACTACCAATTAATAGACACAACTGGTAGCCTATTGAAAATCATCATTACCTTGGCCGATTTCACCTCATCCACCATCATCCCATCCTATTTTAAGTTGCAGTTCTCAAATCATTAATGGCCTAACAGAGGTACAGTAGCATTTGGAACATAACTTTCTCAGTTGATCTTGCATTATAGGAGCTGGTTGGTTTCTCTCTAAGTAATAGAGGCTTATATGTTGGGATAAGCAGTACAGAAAGACGGTCAGAAGAGCCAAGGTGAGGCATGGAATAATTTTGACTGCATTCCTGATGTTAGAATAAGCAACATCCAATGTATTCTCACCTCTGGTTGAAAAAGTATGTGTGAGTTGGGACTAATATTTCTAACACCTTGTTCTTGAGCACAAGTTGTCCTCACGGCTGCTGTTGCTCACCCTGCTGACCCATGACTGTTGTGAGAGGTTTGCTACAAACCATACTGTGAAGTATCTGGATGATTCAACAATAGTGAGCCTTATTCAGGATGATAATAAGGCTGATTACTGGGAGGAGGTGGAGGGCTTGATGAACTGCTGTAATAACAAATTGCCTGGTTTTAAATGTAGTTTTTATTGCTGATTTCAGTAAAGGCAGGCACAGCCAAACACCTCTGTGTATTAACAATTCAACTATGGAGGTGGTTAGTAATACCATTTTTTTAAGTGTGCAGCTGATGAGCAGGTTAGTTTGGTTGCTCAACAGTGAGACATTGGTGAAGTGGAAATAGCAGTGCCTGCATTTTCTGCATCATATGAGAAGAATACATCTTCCTTCCCCTGTCCTTTCTATAGAGCAGGGGTTCCCAACCTGGGGTGCGAGACGATATTCCAGGGGGTGCGAGAAAAGTCCAGGTAAATAATAGGATATTGGCTATATGTTGGCATTTTTATTTATTATGCAATGGATTAACTTTGTTTTCATTTTAGAGTTAAGTATCGTTATTTAGTGGCTGTCACATACATAGCTGAAAAGATTCAATCCTACCATATATTTAACGCGTTCAGTAGTTCCTAAAGTCTAAATTTCAGGGGGGGCGAGGTTCGAGTGAAATTTCTTTAGGGGTGTGGGGCGAAAAAAAGGTTGGGAACCACTGCTATAGAGGGACGATTGAAAGCCTCCTGTCATATTGTATTACTGTGTGGTTTGGAAGTAATACTGTTTCGGACACGAACGCTAGGTAGAGAATGGTGAGGACGGCAGAAAAGATTATTGGAAGTTCACTTCCTTCTACCCAGGACACAGCATATAAGTGCTGCTTGACCAAGGTTCACAATATTGTCAGGGATGCTACACATACTCTCCATGACCTAGTGGGTTGTTGTTGTTTTTTTGTTATCTTCTGAGAAAAGGCTTCGTGGTATCTGAAGCACAACAACTAGATTCTGTAATAGCTTTGTACTATATAGTATCAACTCTTTTTCCTGCTATGTATTCAGAATGAACTGTGATTATATAGCGGTATATATTTCATACATACATACATACAAACACGCATACATACAGCATATGGTATGTATATGTGTGTGTATGTATGTATGTATATATGTGTGTATGTATGTATGTGAGAGCAGGCATTAGAATTTCATTTTTTAATGGGTGCCAGAGTGTTCACAGACAAAAGCGACAATAAATATCTTGACTCATCCCATCCCAAAGACTAAAATATACTGAAGCTTCTATTACCTGGTAGATAAAGCCACTCATCCTTGGGCTGGCAGACAACATCAGCAAAATGTTAGGAAAAAGAAGAAGGTATCTTTCATTTTTTTCCTTATTAGAAAAAAAGAAAAACCAGTAACATATGAAAATCAGATTAAATGGCAAGGTTAAATAAAATGCAGATAAACAAATGAGCTGGCAATCACAATATTTCTCAAATCATCATTATTAAACAGCAACACATTAGACATCTTTAGAACAAACAAGGCTAAGAGATTTTTAGGACAAACTCCCTATAGAGAATGTAATCTTATTTGAAAGAAAAGGCAAAACTCTCAGAGAAATACTGATTCTTTAATAAAAGAAAATGACTTCTATTATTATTATTATGATAAAATGTTTATTTCTAAAAGACTTCATTCCTCTAGTAAATGTGAAATTCAAAATATCATTTTATTGGCATAAATAAAATAAAGATGAGACATTTTTAAAGAAGACACTCAAAAAGGCTAAAAGTAACTATTTTGAAGGGGCAAATTGTTGTATTGGCCCTTCTTTCTAGACTGACTGTATTTTTAAGGATATCCACTTGCCAAATAATTCTGAATGGCTCAGAACAATTAAAAACAGTAAAAACAATTCTGGTACTACCGGTAGTATAAGCAAAATTTGCCATACCTCACTGCCAGCACACTGAATCATAACTTGTGACATGTAAATTACATTTCCTAATGTTTTAATGTCTTCTCCTTCCCAGCACCGGATGGCTTCAGTTAATATCTGGAGTTCAAGTTCTTTTCTTTTCCGTACTTCTTGGCACTGTGCCTATAGGACCAGAATAAAATATCACCACTTCATATAACTGGAGTAGCTATGAATAGTTGTTTTAGTACAGGTAGTCCTTGACTTATGACCATAATTGAGATCAAAATTTCTGTGGCTAAGTGAGCCAGTTGTTAAGTGAGTAACACAGTTGTTAAGTGGATCTGGCTTCCCCATCAATTTTACTTGTCAGAAGATCACAAAAGGTTATCAAAGGACCCTGGAACACTCCAACCATCATAAAATATGAGTCAATTTCCAAGCGTCCGAATTTTGTTCATATGACCATGGAGATACTACAATAGTCAGAGATGTGAAAAACAGTGTAAATCAGTTTTCAGTGCCGTTGCAACTTCAAACAGTAATTCGAGAACGGTACTATCTTTGGATGTCTCCCCAGTCCCCAAATTAAAAATGGGAATGGAAACTGAAAGCCTCTGGGAGAGCAACTCTTTCTATTCCCATTTTTACAGAGTTCTAAACCTTGCCAAAAAAGTTTTGATCAAAGAAATTAATAAGGGAAGCTTGAATCTGACTTTGAGGGTAAATAATTTCCGACAATGTAAGTTTGTGTATTGTACAACACAACAGGGAGGATGAAGACATAAAACTTCTGACGAAGACTGTTAAAAATATGGAAACCTCTTTTCAAAAGTTTGTTAAAAATATGTTAAAATATAGAAGTAGAATTCATCAGTCACTGCCATATTTCTAGTACTGTCACTGTGCTCAAATCAAAATTATTACAGATAGTCCTTGACTTACAACCATTCGTTTAGAGATCAAAGTTATAGTGACATTGAAAAAAGTGACTTACCACCAGTTCTGTCGCTTACAAATGTTTCAACATGTCCGTGATCATGTGATCAAATTTCAATTGTTTAGCAACTGGCATTGCATCTACCCAGAGTCATATAATTGCTATTTGCCACCTTCCCAGCTGGCTTCCAACAAGCAAAGTTAAAGGGTGAAGCTCGATTTGTTTAACAACCACGTGATTCACTTAACAACTACAGTGATTTGTTTAACAACTGTAGTAATAAATGACTGTAAAATTGGGTGTGACTCACTTAATGACCATCTAGGTTAACAACCAAAAGTCTGGTCCCAATTGTGGTCATAAGTCTAGGACTATCTGTAATGGAAGTGTCTGTGTTTTATTTCTCCATGCATATGCTTTGTTAACTTTTATCTTTGCTACACTCCAAGAAAATAGTCTTCAAAAGCTACTGCTCTGTTTCTTGAGTTCTACAGGTTACTTACAGAAAGATTTTTGAAAGCTGTCATGGATTTCTGAATGTCTGGTCGGTCAGGATGATAATCCTAAAAGAAAATTCAAAGGGAAATGGCTTTACAGCTTGTTTTGGAATTAATGCCATTTCTGTTAATACTGGATTAAACACTTAAGAAATTTTCCTCTTAACTGATTTAAGCAACTAATCTCTAAATAAGATCAAGATTTGGACTGCCATTTGTCAGAAATGGTGTAGGGTCTCCCGCTTGGACTAGATGACCTACAAGATCACTTCTAACTCTGATTATCTGTAAGAAACAAATAATGTTGCAAGAATTTTTTTTCTTAATAGGAATCAATTTTATGAATGTTTATCTTTTCCTACCTGTGTTTCCCCAAAAATTTCACCAGTATTGTATTAATTTTTGCTCCAAAAGATGCATTAGGGGTTATTTTCCAGTTAGGTCTTATTTTTTTTTTTTGGGGGGGGGGGGGGGGGGGGGGGGGGGGGGGAAATATAGTACTAAATGCTGACAATCTTAACTGAGGCTTGTTTTTGGGATAGGGCTTATATTACAAACATCCTGAAAAATCATACTTATTTTCCGGTTGGTCTTATTTTAAAGGAAACAGGGTATATAAATACGATTTAGTCTAGTCTTCTTAGAACAGAAAATAAAACTTGGGCACTGTCAATTTTTCAAGAGATAATGATGTACATCAATATGAAACAATTAAAAATACGATTAATGGCATAATGTGCCAAAATTCTCAAACTGAATATTTACGTTTAAAATTAAGATTACACACACATTCAACAATATTAAACTAAACCTCTTAATTCTATGTTTAAGACTGAAGATTTGGCCTTCAAGTAATAGTAACTAATATCTAGCTATTAACTGACTGACTATGTATTGTATAATAAAATGGGCGTTGGTACTTACCTGATATGCCCTTTCTCGTCGAGCTGCGTAGAGCATCCAGAGTGGGAGGTGCTCCAGTCTCCGCTCTTACAGGCTGAGCTATAATTGAGGAACGCTCCTCCTCCTCCATGTGACTCCTCCGTAGTGTTCCCCAGTTTTACGAAGACGAGAAAACAAACAACTATCCTCTCCTCTTAACTATTGTAGCAACTCACAACTACTTAACTGTTTGAATCATTGGCCGAAACAGCATTCCCCACCAGACGGACAATTTAGGGTGGGGCTGGATGCTCTACGCAGCTCGACGAGAAAGGGCGTATCAGGTAAGTACCAACGCCCATTCTCCATAGAGCTGCTGCGAGCATCCAGAGTGGGACATACCAAAGCATGGCCTGTCCTACGGGAGGGACTCCATCTGGGTCGGAATATCCTCTGGTTCTCTTGCCACTTGTTGAAGGACTCGCCTGCCAAAGGACGCTTCTGCTGAAGCAAATACATCGATTTTATAATGACGAATAAAAGGTGACGGAGACGCCCAGGTGGCCGCTCGACAGATATCATTTATCGAAGCCTGGGTGGCCCAGGCTGCCGAGGTAACCGCACCCCTTGTAGAATGTGCGGTTATTCCACTGGGAACAGGAAGCGCCTGAGTTAAATAGGCCTTGGAGATTGTAGCTCTGATCCAACGGCCTACAGTAGACGGGGATACTTTGAAACCCAGCGTCTTTGGTTGGAATGACAGGAACAGTGATTCTGACTTCCTGAAAGGATGAGTGCGACTGATGTAAATACGAAGCGCACATCTGACATCGAGGGTATGCCACTGCCTTTCCCTTTCTCGAGAAGGTTTGGGGCAAAAGTTAGGAAGAATGAGTTCCTGTGCTCTGTGAAAGGCTGAGTTAACCTTGGGTAGGAAGGAAGGATATGGTCGCAGGACCACTCGATCAGCGTGGAAAACGCAGAGATCCTTTCTCACGGACAGAGCTGCTATTTCAGATATCCATCGTGCAGATGTAACTGCTACGAGAAACACCACCTTGAACGTAAGGAATTGAAGTGATGCTTCCCTTAGAGGTTCGAAGGGAGGTTTAGTCAGTGCCGTGAGTACCTTGTTAAGGTCCCAGGTTGGGTATCTGTGTATTACTGGAGGATGCAAATTGGTGGCTCCTCTAAGGAATGCTCGAATACAAGGGTGGTGTGAAAGTGGGTCAGAGGAGTTGCCAGAAATAACAGTTGATACAGCTGCCACTTGCCTTCTCAAGGTATTGGGGGAGAGGCCCCTGTCCAGTCCTTCTTGCAAGAAGGCCAAAATTTGAGCAATCGATGGGGAGAGCGGATTAATGTGTGATTTGTGGCACCATTTGCAGAAAATGCTCCAGGTAGCATTATATACCCGGGTGGTTGAAGGCCGTCTCGCTGCCAGGATGGTTCCAATGACCTGATTGGAGAGGCCCTCCTTTCTTAAACGCTCCCGCTCAACCTCCAGATGGCTAACTGAAGCCACTGAGGATTTGGATGCTGAAGAGGTCCCTGGGATAGCGAGATCCTGTCCGGTGGGATCCTCCAGGGAGGGGCCACTGACAGGTTGCGAAGGTCTGCAAACCACGGTCTCCTGGGCCAGTACGGAGCAACCAGGAGAAGTTCCGCCCTTTCGTGAATCAGCTTTTGGATCACTTTGGGGATTAACGGTAGAGGGGGAAATGCGTATAAGAGCCCTGTGGGCCAGGGGCAGCGTAGGGCGTCGTGATTCTCTGCCCCCTTGGTGGGGTACCTCGAGAAGAATCTCGGTATCTGGGTGTTGAGCGGTGACGCGAATAGGTCCACTAGTGGGTGGCCGAATATCGCTGAGGCCTCCCTGAACAGGGAGGGATGTAGGTGCCATTCTGCCTGGTCTAAGGTGGCCCTGCTCAACCAGTCTGCCCGAACGTTTGAGGCCCCTGAGATGTGATCTGCCCTGATGGATAAAAGGTTGGTCTCCGCCCAGCGACAGAGACGCTCGGCCTCCCTCATGAGACGGATGGAATGTGTGCCCCCCTGCCGGTTGATATGAGCCTTGGTCGTAATGTTGTCCGTCAGGACCAGTACGTGGCGGCCGCGCACTTGAGGAAGGAAGGTGCGTAGGGCCAGGTATACCGTGTGAAGCTCCAGCCAGTTTATACTGCACCGTTGCTCGGCTGCTGACCAAGTGCCCTGAGCTGAGAGCGAATGGATATGGGCCCCCCATCTGGATAGGCTGGCGTCTGTTGTGAGGGTGACCCTTTGGGGCTCCTTGAAGAGATGTCCTTTGTTGATAGCGGGTCTGGTCCACCAAAGAAGCGATGCAAGAACTCTTGGAGGGACCTTCACCATGGCTCTTGAATTGCCCTTCCGGAACGCTGATATGGCAGGAGGAACCACTGCAGAGATCTGGTATGCAAACGGGCCCAGGGAATAATGGATATGCATGAGACCAATTTGCCAAGTAATTTAGATAAGTCCAGTAATGACGCCTTTCTCGCTCGTCTGATCACCCTGACCAACTTTTGAATGCTGAGGAATCTTTCAGGGGAAAGGAAGACCCTTTCTTTAACTGAGTCAATCACTGTCCCTAAGTGTGCAATTCAGGTGGAAGGAGAAAGCTGACTCTTCTCCCAATTTACTAGAAGACCATGGGCCTGAAGAACCGAGAGGGTAGTTCTGGTGTCCCTTACGGCTTGGCATTTGGAAGGAGAGAGGATGAGAACGTCATCCAGGTAACAGTGAATACGGATGGGGAAATTTCTAAGGTGAGCCGCTAGGGCTGCCAGGACCTTGGTAAAGGTCCTCGGGGCCACATACTGAAAATGATGACCGTTGTAGCAAAAACGAAGAAATTTGACAAAGGAGGGGTGAATGGGGATGTGGAGGTATGCTTCTGAGAGGTCAATGGAAGTGAGCCAATCTCCCTTTCTGATGCCCTGAAGAATAGACTGAAGGGTATGCATCTTAAACTTATGCCGGACAATGTAGCGATTAAGCCTCTTCAAGTCTAGAATGGGTCTCCAACCTCCGGAGTGCTTTGGAACTATGAAGAGGTGGGAGTAAAAACCCCTTCCCCACTGGGAAGATGGGACGGGCTGAATGGCCCTGATTTCGGTGAGGTGCTTGATAGCGGCTTCTATTAGAGCCCGCTTGGTGCGGTCCTTGGAAAGAGGGGAAACCATGAAATGCTCCGGGGGGGGGGGGGATTGGAACTCAAGGGATAGACCGAATTTGACGGTGTCCCTAACCCAAACATCAGAAGTGGATGATTTCCATTGGTCAGAAAATATTTGAGGTGCCCACCAATGGGATAGGGAGTTAGGGACTTATCTGGGGCGCCGGGACGCTTTACTTCCTGCGCCCCGGAAAGGTCTCCTGTAGTTGGCCCCTCTCCTATTCCTGTCACCGGTGTCGGAGCGGTCCTGGTAGGTCGGCCGAAAGGACGGGGTTCTCTGAAACCTGGGGGAGAAGGGTATCTGTTAGGGGGTACGAAAGGAGCCCCTTCGAAAGGGCTGGGACACTCTGGGCTCCGGTCTGAGAAAAAGAGATGGAAGATATTTCTTTTTATTTCGGCTTTCCATCAGCAAGGGTTCCAGGGCCGGCCCAAATAGTTTGCCTCCCAAAATGGGAGCCGAAACCAATTTAGATTTGTTCTTGATGTCTGCTTGCCAATGTTTAAGCCAGAGCAGACGACGGGCTGTAACGTGTGAAGAGATAGCCCGGGAGGAAAACTTAACGGAGTGGAAGGTGGCGTCAGACGCAAATTCCGCTACAGCCGTAAGTTTGGCAATGTCCTGGTGTGCCCTGGTGTTAGATGGGGGGAACATGCTGTTTTAACTGACAGAGCCATCTAATAGAGGATCGAGTAAAAAAGGATGCGGCCGTGGCTGATCGAATGGCCCAAGCATCGGATAGATGTGCCCGGCGTAGCGCCATCTCGGCCCGCTTGTCCTCTGGCTTTAGCGCTTCGAGAGGGTCGGTTGGAGTAGAGGATGATGCTAACCCCACTATGGGATCATCAACCTCGGGAATGTCTAATAAGGAGAACTCTGCATCGAGATTAAAAAATCTCCTGTCCTGACTGGAGGGAGCGGGGGAGGGGGCTGTTGAGCCCAACTGCTTTGCTACTAAGTCGGAGAAAATGGGTGGTGTGGGGATAACTTCGGCTTCCACGACCAGTTGTTTGAAAATAGAATCCTCTGGATCTCCAGAGGCAGCTGGGGAGGTATCGGAGGGCAACTGAGACATCAGGCCCGAAATATTTTTCGCCTTGAACAACAAGGACTTGAACAGATGGGGTTTGAACAGGCCTACAAAGGTGGGCTGGTCAGGCGAAATACCCTCATCCTCTGACATCTCTCCTTCCATCGGTTCCATCTCTAAGAGGGGTTCAGAATAGTGTAGGGACCCCCTATCCGATTCTTCCTCTTCCCTGAAGGGTTCTAGACCCGCTTCCTCTTCCTCCTCCTCCTCCTCCTCCCCTTCTGGAAAGGGGATCTCCCTCTGGGGAAGTACCTGACCATGGTGAGGTTCCGGTCTGGGAAGAGATCTGCCAGAAACTGATTCGACATCGGGAACCATCGCTGGAAGGCCTGGTCTGGCCATTTGTTGGAGACCTTCGGCAATCCCCTGGCGGATGGCTAGCTGCATCCATTCTCTAACCCTGTCCGGAATAGGGTCTGCGGATGGTTCCTCTGGTCGCAGACCAGCCGCAGTCGGTGTGAAAGTAGCCTCAGGTGTTTGGATGGCTTGGAGGCTCCGAGCGGGCGAACTGCGCCTGGAAAGAGAGAACTGGTCTGGCAGAGAGGGAGGATGAGTAGAGGCAGAAGGGGTGGGAATAGGAGGTGCCGGGGGCACAGATTGTGAGTCCGTTTGTCAAATTCCTTCTCCAAGGCTTTATGGCGCCCTTTGAGAAGCCTTGGATGCCTCCCTGGTCTGTCTGCGCAAATGATGTGTCTTTGACTTGGCCTTCAAAGAAGGTCCTCTGGGATTGTCCTCGGCCATAATAACAGCAAAAATACAGACTGATAGTGCTCAATGAGGCGGTTGGCGCGCCTAGGAGTTCGACCTACAACAAAGGCCGGATAACCTATAGTTGAACCGCATCCCCCTTTTGGAAAAAAAATTTTTTTAAAAATTATATTAATATTATTATTTATTTTTTTATTTTTATTTTTATTTATTTTTTAATAGGGATGAGACCAAATAAGGTCTAACAGAACCGTAGCACTGTGGGGTTATGCCAAATTGAAATAAAAATTGCGGAATTAGGAAAAAAGGTAAATCAAGATAACCAATGAGCCAAATGAACGCTGAGGCCAGAAAAGAAAACAGAAAAAATGGGCCTCCTGAGGCAGCCTCCCAAGCAAATGGGAGGTACTACTTGTGCCTTACAACCTCGCCTCTGAGCAGGCTGCGGGAATAGCCAACAACACTAACAAAAGGTAACAGGGCTCGGAGCCACAATACCTTCCTAATAAACAGGCTCTAAACAGGCCTTCCGGTCCTGCTATGGGCCTCCAAAGTCACCGCAACGACAACGATAATAAACAAAATGGTGGCCGGCCATGAGGCGCACCCAAAATGGCGGCCGGGACCGGCGCGAAGCTCAGAAGCGGAAACAACTCCTCGAAGGGAAGAAAACAGCTTAAAAGAAGCAAAAAAGAAAAAGGCGAGGGGCAGAAGGGAGGCAAGCTCACCTTCTAGTCTAGGCGTTCTTGGGGGGAAGGAACAACCAAAGTGCCACGAATACCGCTATAACAAGCCGCTGCTTAAGAGCAGGGACAGCTTATAACGGCGGCAGGGAGCAGGAGGGGGGGGGGCGCGAAAAGCTGTTAAAAAACCCTTTTTCCTCCCCCTGAGGGGCGAAAAAACGCTCCTCTTAGGCAGTTAAGACCAACCAGTAGCGCAGGGACCAAGGAGAAGGAATAGAAATCAAACCTGAATTAAATTGTAATTTTTTCCTGAATCGGCCAAGGAAGAGCTGCTAAATGCTGCCTGTCTCTTGCGAGGCTGAGCTAAAACTGGGGAACGCTACGGAGGAGTCACGTGGAGGAGGAGGAGCGTTCCTCAATTATAGCTCAGCCTGTAAGAGCGGAGACTGGAGCACCTCCCACTCTGGATGCTCGCAGCAGCTCTATGGAGAACTGCAATGGCACACCGAAGAATAAACTTCAGCATGGGAAAAGATGAAAAATCTATGCTTCACAATGCTCTCTTAAGATGATTGACATTCAATGATCAAACATGTTCAATCATTTCTTCCTAATCTTGCAAAAGCATGAAAGAAAGCCACAAAATTTAGGAAAAGGAAAAAAAATCAGAAACAGCATTATTACCATATCCCCAGTGGCATTTATACTGCATATTTCTACACTGCAATTTCATAGTACTGAATCACAGATGCAAAATAAACTGGCTTTATTCTTGTGTTATAGATTTCACAAGTCAACTGAAGAGACCATTAGTTTAGAATAAGAATGTCTTAATTTGTCTTAGAAAATACAGTCAACCTTAAACATATAATCTAGCATTCCTGAACAATTATTTCTATGATCTCAGAGGCATAAGAACAAAGTAATGTACTTTGCTACCAATCATCTTTGAAATGCTATTTTAAGATGTTTGTCAAATCACTATTAAACTAGAATGTAAATGCTGTGGGGATATACTGTACCTCCATGTGTCTTTCAAGCTCTTTGAGTAATGTGGGATATTTATCTAAACGCATAAAAGGTTTGCTCAGGCCTGTGGTCAGTACAAGAATCCCAGGACTGTTGGCTCCTTTTAGCTCCATGAATTCTCCTAATTCTTCACTGTATATACAAAAAGTAAAACAAATAAACATTTGAAGTTTAAATGTGGAATTGCAGCCAGCCATACCTGTTAAGAAATTTTCAAAAATATTCCAGTACAGTATCTTCTATACGTAGATCTGCACAATATTGCAGCGTGTTGTGGCTTGTTCCAAATGTCAAGTCAACAGAATCAGAGCATACCGTCAGACTATTTCCACCTAAAATCAATAGTTATGACTCAGCCTTCCTTTATTTAGAGCAAAACCAGGCCACCCACAATACTAGTGCTTTAAATCTCTTTCAAATCTTTTTTATGCAATCTGGGGAAAATGGGACAGGGAGGGGACAAAACTATCTATGAAAGTGGAGGGTCAAGAACTGGAAAATCCTGAACCCTGGCTGCTATGCATCTTCTGTGAACCTCTATTTTAACATCACAGGACTGATCACCTTTTAAAAACAACAATGCAAAAAATCTATTATTACTTTTTCTTATAATCCCTGAATGTTTTTCAAAACTCTTCTCTCCACAGGGGAAATAACCAAATATTAAGACAGAGACTTGATACTATCACTACTCGTTTTATTATAAAAAGACAACCTATGAGAACTATCAAGTGCCTTTTTTTTTTTGCTTTACAAGAGGGACAAATAGAATTTTAAGGTCTACCTGGATTATGTTTTGATTTCTTCCAAAGCCTCATTGATCTTTCTTAATACCACTTTGAAAGAAAATTAAAAAGAAAGTGCTTTTTAAAAAAGCTGTCAATATTTCCATGAAGAAAAGAGATAAAGTAGAGAAGATGCAGGCCTTATTCACTAATATTTTCATGACCAAGACAGTTTCCTCTTTGGCAGTGACTATTTTGATTCTTCAGCTAATGAAATTGAAGCCATGTTTTATGAAAATATATTTTATATATATTTTATATACATATATGATCTACACCACTAACAAAAATCACTAATACATTCTGAAAGGTTTATATGATACTATTTTAACAAAGTTTTATTATGCATAGAACTGTGATTTTATATTGACATAAAACATTAAATACTTAAAGCACAATTTTGATTTACTGTACATACTTGCTAACTATTTCAATTTGTTTTTTCTTGTGAAAGAACTTTACTTTGGGATTAAATATGAATCTTGGGATATAGATATTTCATCACATTAGAAAATGATGATTCTGTTCACAAAATTAATCTGTATATTTTTCAAAATCATAGCTATTTTAATAAAGACTCTTTATGTGAGAAACATTAAGCAGCAAATTCACAGTGTACTGGACTAAAACAGAAAAATAAGATAAAACCAATTCTTTAGTTGCACAAACAACTAAATGCGGTACAAAAAATTTAATTACTACATAGTAATATTTACTCAAAGCAGGTTGGCTACATAGAACAAATAAGCAAAGTATGACTACTAACTAATATAGAGTTACTGACCTGGTGCAGATCTTTGCTATCTAGATAGCCCTAATCATTTCCCAATGTTAAGTTCTACAGTCTTAGAACTATTTATGAACCCTCTAATATCACTGAGACTTATTTCTGAATGCATGAATACAGAACTGTAATTTTAAAAAGATCTTAAGAAATCAATGAATTAAAGCACAAGTTAAAATTGTCCTCCAAATTACATCTAATCAATTGTTATTTTAAGGTATAAAACCACTACAAATTAAGAATAATGTTTTAAACCTCCAAGTACTTTCATCAGAAATCAGTCAGTAAACACTAGAACAAGAATAAATATAGATAATTATAAACAAGTGCAAAACACTCAAAGTCATAACTTACACTTCCAGTTCCTGCCTATAATACATAGAACATGAACTCTCAGAGCTGAAAGGTCTAAAGATGTCACATAGACAATGCATGCTCAAGACCCTCCAGCAAATCTTTGACTCACTAAATGATCTGAGCTCCTGACTGCGCTTCAACACTGAATGCCTTATTCTGAGGCTGTTGCTTCAAGTATGACATCACCCCTATGTTAGCAGCCCTTGGGAAACCACATGAGGGAGGGACAATAGATTGTCTGCATCAGATGCTTATCGAAATCCCACATGCCAATTAATCTCTCGTAAGTGTGATTTTCCAAGCTTCCCTTTTTGAAATTTGATATAAAATCAATGAGGCTAATGCAATAGTCATGTCTAATTAAGCTCCAGCTATATTATATAAGTTTATGCAACTATAGTTTAAGAAAATAGCAATGGTGTCTATCTCAGATAGGTTTGCTACTTTTAAGCAATACATCTGAAGTATTGTATGTTTTACATCTTATTCTTAATTGTATTAATTTTTGATCAATTATATGTCATCAAATAATATTTAACTCCTAACAGCCATAACAACGATTAAAATAATGCTATTTTGTTTGCATTCTAGATTTCAATAGTTTCCCCAGGAAACATATTACAATAAAATCATTGCATACGCTTTAAAATATACATTAAGACATGTGCAAAGTATATATTTTCTTCAGAATGTATTCTATTAACAGTACTTTCATAGGCAACCAATTCATCTCAGAAAATTAAACTGGCTGGCTTGATGACAGCCCTTGTAATATAAATAGAATTCATGAAATGAAAAATAATCCAGGTGTCATGCTAGGATGGCTGCAGGGAAGTGTTTTATTAGAAAAATCTGGACAGAAATCCTTCCCAGCCAAACCTATTTGCATTGTATTGTGCTTTATCAATTATTACAATTTTAGCTATCAGAAAAGGCAATGTCCTGGTATTATTCTAGAATGGCCACCAGACAAAATTCTAAACTGAGCATGAAATATACTTCATTTAATGGCTGTCAAAGCAAGTTCAATTACTTGCTACTAACAATTAAATTCACAACACAATCACATTAAAAGCACTCTTTACACACACTTTTGATATTTTTCCCACAAACTTCAAAACTACCTTGGTGTACATAATACCAGAACTTTTTCCAATGATCAACTGTTATCAAATATAAAATCTTAGCCCCACTTGCAATAATAGCATGCTGCTTGGGCAATCTCTTCATGCAGTAACTTGAAAAGGCTTTTTAAAAATACATAACAGCAAGAAGAATAAAAACAGTTGCACTGGATCAGATCAAAGGTCCCACAAGCTCCCATGCAGCCTCTGATTGTAGCAAACCAGATTCTTCCAAAAAGTGCACAAAAAGGCTTTAAGGCAATAATCCTACTATTCCCTTCGAAATATTTGGTATTCTGTGGCATTCAGCCTCTGAACTGCAATGTTCCTCATAGTCATTTCTTTGTTTTAATTATTTATAAATTGTCTCTCAAACTACAGTATTTTTCCAAGAGAACATACAAAATATAATATTAAAAAATTAAAGTAATAATATTAAATGCAAAGACATGTCCAAACTCAAATAAATATATTACTTCGACCAGCCATTCTACTATAACATCTAAAAACAGATTTTCTATCATGTATCTATTAGAACTCTACCATCCATAAAAGCCATCAATATGTTACTTTAAATGTTTTAAAAGACATAGGCAGAAGATGATAAAAGACACAGGCAGAAGATGATAATTTAAAAAGCTAAAAATAGAGAAAATGTGAGCTTAAAAAAACTCTAAATGAAAAAAAAATCTAACATTGGAGAAGGCCTTTTTCCACCTAGTTAACAAACTAGGCCTCTAAAAATGCCTATTGTATCCAAAAAGAAATCTCTCTTGTAGATCATAACTAAAATGTTTCATAAATTATCCTAAAACAACAAAACTGCTGACCTAAGCTTTTAAAACACAATGGAAAAAAACTTTTAATGCTTAGTTTAAAAAATAGAAAAGAGACCACTATCTCATATCCACTTGCCGAATTATCACATGATGAATCAATCCATAAGCAAAGCTTCTTTTAGGTTACATTATAGCTATCCAAATCCTTTGGGGAGAAATATAATCTACAGGAGCATATACAAAGCAGTTTTTGCTGAATCATTAAACAGCCTTGGTTGTGCTGATGCCTATATAGAGAAATAATCAAGAAAAACCTTTGAAGCAATTGCATGAGAAGGATGTAGCTGCTTTAACTATTCAAAGAGAGGTGCTTTGCATGCATTCTGCCTTATGAAGCACCTCTTTCAAAGGATTTGGATGACCTAATTTATATTGGTGCAAAAAATATACTAAATAACTCAGTCCCAAACCATTCAAGATTTTAAAGTTTAATACCAACACTATTCATTTTCTATGATTCTATATATGGACTAGACAGCTCTTTGATGAAATCCAGCAGGACTCTTCAATTTGAAATTAGCAAACTTTTATTGAAGACAACATCAAGCTATACATTTTAAAGAAACTATATTTATTTTCAAGTCCAACACAAAAACATTGTTATTTATGACTCAAACTTTTAAAATGCATTTCCACCACAATCAAATGAAAATACCAAGGCAATAGGCTTATATTTGTTGCCAACATTATTTCTGAAACAGAGAAAAAGAAGCAAAACGTAAATGTATAAACTCTTCCTTATTTGTATCATTTCTAGGTGCACATACCTGTGTTCTGTAAGAACAGTTACTGCTGATGGGTGATTGGCACAATATATAAGGTATAAGTTTTTCATTTGTGGCATGAGATTTAGGAAGCAACCCCCAACCCTCTGCTGGGCTTCAGGTAATCTGAAATAAAACAACATCAATGTACCTTTTTAAAATTATCTAAGACCCAATGCCTTCACATTTATCAGGACACAGATGACACTGATATCAAAGTTCATATGAACATTCTTATTTGGATGGAAAAATAGTGAAGGAAACAAAGTAGCAGAAAACAGTTCTACAAATTATCATTTAACATATCTTCATTCCCTTTATAAAATATTATTTTCAATCAACAATTAAAATAGAGTAAACATTAATATGTTTTACACTAATTATTATTTGGTATAATAATAATTCAATTCAGTTCAAGCCGACAATTTAAAAAATATGAAAAAAGGGGGGGGGGGGATAAAGCCACTTTTAGTGAAGCTGGGTCTCCATTAGCTTCTGGCAAAAAAGTAATAGATGGTTTGCAGATTTCAAGGAAGAGAACTTTTCAGAGTGAAAAAGTCAGCACTATAAAGGCCTATGAGTACTCCACAGTTCTTGCCATATGCTGAAAATCGTCACCAGAACCAATCGTAGTAATTTATGTACAATGCCAAAAGCATCTCAATCCCAAATTATTTAAAGGCATATAAATAAAAAATGAAGAGTTGGTTGCTACAATATACTGTATGTTTTAAATAATAAAATAATAAATAAATAAAATAAAATAATAAAATAAAGCAAAATGTGAACCTGGCTCACTAGCTACCTGGTCACCAGTACACCTGCACAAATAATTGTGAAAGTAATGTACAGCGACTTATCCACTCTGAAATGGTACTCTTGAAATGCTGGGGGGCGAGGGGGGGGGAGGTGTTGTATTCTGTGGTTTTAAAAAAAGGTTTCAGTAAAGACTGTTTAAGTTTACAAAAACAGTCATACTTAATAACACTCCTTGATAAAAACAGGTCTGGAGTTTTCATTTTTTAGATTATATCATGAAGAAGCACATTTGGGATATATATTATTATTCCATGCAACTATTCATATGGAAATAGTTACAGTGGAATAACAGTACAATTGGTACGCAATTTTAGTAAAAGAAGAAGAAATATCTCACAACAAAATATATACCCAACCAAACGTTGGCAAGGAAACATTTTTGAAGGAAGGAAACATTTTTGGTCTGTGGTGAGCATGTGTGGAAAGAAAACCATGCTTTTTGAAAGAAAACACTGAAATAACTAAATAAGATTAAACAAAAAAAATAGAATGTGCTTCTGAAACGGGATTATATATTTTCAAGGGAATTAGTGCTAAATTTCATAATAAGGAGCCATACTATATTTTTACACCTAGCAGCTAAATTAATAATTTAGGAGATGTCTTTAAAGACCACCTGGAAGCTACAATTGGTCCAGAATGCAGCAACATAGGTAGCTATGACTGTTTCTTGGCATGCCTATGTAGCACTGTTACTCCACAAGCTGCATTAGCTTCCAGTGAAATTATAAAGCCCTGCATAACATAGAACCAAGTGATTTGTAGGACGACTTTTTCCAAGTACATCTGTGTTTCCTTTACACTCCAACAGATAACGCTGATCAATTTTGATCAATTTTGAAACTATCATTTTATGGGACCTAGAGGCACTCCTTTTTTAGGGTGGTACCTGTCCTCTCAAACAACCCCCTCCTCCTCAATTTACGGCTGGCTCCAACAGGCCTTTAAAAGACAGTGAAAACATGGCTCTTTCTTCCACATTTGGATCAGCAGGAACAAAGTTCTCATCTGGAGACACTGAATACATTTTGATTCCTGATTACCAATTAACAAGTTTTTAACTAGCATTGGTATTTTGTTTTTGGCATTTTTGTTATTGGTTTTTTTTTTAGTCTGCTCCCAATGTCACCCTGTCCAAGTTGGGTTAGCACCTGTAATTTTAATGAACTTTGCGATCTATGGAAACTATGGATGAACCTTTATTTATGCTGTTATTGGAAGTAAAATGAAAGTAATTTTAAAAGTTAGTGATAATACAGAAAATTCAATGAATAATATAGTTCTCTGAATTTTTAGGTATATATAGCTACTCTGACATTTTATTTGCCTATATGTTTGTAAGTTCAGTGGCCTCAGGCTATAATAAAATTTAATTCAACTTTTTAAAAATTAAAAAAAGTTTTATATATAACAGAAATGGCTTTACAGGAAGTATTTATCAGCCTTTAGACAAATACAACTTAACCTCAAAAAGGAAAAGGAAGAGAGGAAGAAGCTTAAAATTACCTTGTCTTAATTCACTTGGTATAAGTTTTTATTGAGTCTTTTTTCTGACTTAGTCTACCTCAGAGCTGAGAAGTTTCATTTTTGACTGGTTAACATAAAGATTTTTAAAATTTATTTTACTTTTTTATTTAGAAGATTTTAAAGGCCACCCCCTCTTAGTGACTCTGGGTGGCTTACAAACAATAAATACCCCACATAAAAAAATAACAAACAATCCCCCCCACTACTTACTTAGTGCATTCTTCTAAAGATTGTACAAGCATTTGTTGAAAAGAACTAATTTCTTCTAGGTTTCCCATTAAATATGAAGTATCTGCAGAATGTAATCTGTAACCAAGGAAATAAGAATATTAAAACAAAACACTTCTAAAAAAAGATTCAGATTAGCCTTGGCGTCAGAGAGTTCCCGCCTGCCTTTTTGCCAGACCCAAGACCAAGACACATTATTGGTTCAATTAAACTGATTTAATGCTAGAAGCCTATGTATAGGAATCTTCTCAACAAACATCAGAGTTCGAGTTCGAGTTAGATAAAGGTTAGAGTTAGATAAAGGTTAAGGGCACTCAAGGTGGACTTAGTTCATTTGTGGCTACACAGGGATTCTAGGCTAATCCCTTTTTCACTCTGCCCCAGCTTCTGCCATTCCTTCTACATTTTTTGCATGACATAATACAATAGAACAATTTGCACCGACCATATATTCTATCTAAGAAACTTTCTCCTTTCATTTAGGAAATTGGCTGCTCTCTTCCACCATAAAATAATCCAAATGTGAACATGTAAGCAGTGTAATAGAACTGCAGTTGAAGATGTGCAATACCTGAAGAAATTAGAAAGCAGGTAGTATCCAGAGCAGACTTGAATAGAGTCAAGACACAAGGAGCCAGGACAACTGACTCTCTATGAATAAACTAATTCAATATACTGTATAGCAGGGGTCCCCAACCACCGGGCCGCGGACCGGTACCGGACCGTGGAACATTTCCTACCGGGCCGCCGGTTTGCTGGGTGCCGCCATCTTGTTTGACGAGAAAGTACTTCTGGGTGAGCTTTTCTGGTTGGAAAGCGGCGTTTGGGTCCTGAAGGAATCCTCGCGCCTTAGTTTCATCGAAGGAGGGGCTTCGAACGAAACTAAGGCGCGAGGATTCTTTCAGCACCCAAGGCAAGGCGAGCCGAGCGACCGTCCCGAAGCCGTCCCGAAGCGAAGCCCATCGACAAAGGTACAAAGGAGGAGTTGAAGGTGGCGGGGAGAAGCGGGGGACAGCTGGCTGGCCGGTCGCTCGGCTCGCCTTGCCTTGTCATGCGTGCTGATGCCGGTACCAGGCCGCAGATCATTTTGTGATGCCGGTACTGGGCCGTGGCACAAAAAAGGTTGGGGGCCACTGCTGTATAGGGCAATGCCATCTAAAAAAAAGTTAATGATAGGTAATCAATTATATTAAGAATGGCAACTTATGTTTCTATGTACCCTTCTGACTGGCACTTTTCTAATGAACTGCTCTCATTCACTATAAAACTATTAGTATAGACTGTTGAAAAAACACATTACTGTTGAAAAAACACATTACACGCTACTAAAAAGGTTATTAAGTAAAATCTTTTTTTTTTTTTTTGAGCCAAACTCAGCTTCCAAACATGTCTGTGAAATTTTCTTGGCAGCAAAGTGGACATTATTTGCCATTACTTCTTCCAGAATATGTTTAGGGTTTCCCAGGCTAGTTTTCTGACGATCTCAAATACAAATACAATTAGTCCTCAGCTTACAAACATTTGTTCAGCAAAGCTCCAAGTGACATCATTGCTGAAAAAAATGACTTATGACCAGGGGTGGGATTCAAATTTTTTAACAACCGGTTCTGTGGGCATGGCTTAGGTGGTGGGCGTGGCTTGGTGGTCATGTGACTGGGTGGACATGGCTTGGTGGTCATGTTATTGGCTGGGCGTGGCCAATTCAATATCACTCACATCGAGGCATGCATCTCCTCGCCTGGCCTCTCATGACTGTGGGGATGCTGCAACAGTCGTAAGTGTGAAAAATGGTCATAAGTCACTTTTTCCAGTGCCATTGTAACTTTGAATGGTCACTCCACACAAGCAAAGTACCAGCAAAGGAGGGGGAAAAATTCCAGAGACGTTCCTGAGACAGGAAGTCTAGTCCTGCCAAGAATGTAATAAGGGTTAACGGAGAGGCAGTTTCTTTTAGCAACACCAGAATGTTTCCTTCCTGCCTTCATTACAGGATTAGGCCAGTAATTTCTTCTAACAACCAGTTCTCCGAACTGCTTAGAATGTTAACCGGTTCTAGCGAATAGGTGCAAACTGGTAGTATCCCACCCCTGCTTACGACCCATGCTCAAAGTTATGGTTGTTGCAACATTCCCGTGGTCACATGATCCAAATTTGGGCACTTGACAGGCCATCTACACTTACAATCACATACACGCTGCAATTCCCCACACCTATTTCCCACTCATCTATGACCCTTGGTCCTCTCTGCACCCTGCCTTGCGGAATGCCAGGCAGCCGCAGAATCACACAGCTCTGGAGCTGATTGCCACACCATGGGATACCTCAGCTGCCTCAGAAATATTTGTTCGTCCATCTGCCTTCTCTACCAGTTCCCTGCACCAGCCTTTCACTTTGTGTGTCAGCCACTATGGCCGAACCAGACAGAGTGCTACTCTGACTTTTTTGTCCTCTTTTTGGACCTAGCTTCTCTGGTAAATGTTTTCTACATATGACTCCCAGAGCCTTCAGAAATCTGTGTTTCCTTTAGAAAACTGTGCAATCCTAGGAAAGCCTTCTGAACAAGTACTGGGGCTGCTTACCGCACTACTTCGCAGTGTACAGGGTAGCCAAATGACAGTTATGGGATGGGGAGATAAGTGGGTGGAGGGAGTTGGAGGCAGTCCCTTACCTGGCTCTGGGCCATGAAGGACCCATCCTGCAATCCCATTTGGACTGGGGTGGACACTCACTTAAAATTCTTAGTTAATGATTGTAATGGGGAATGCTGCAATTGCTTTCATAAATCAGTCCGGTCACATGATGTCTTGCCTTATGACTGCACTGCTTAGTGGTGGAAATTTGATTTCAATTGTGGTTGTAAGTTTAACCACCATACCTGACACTGGCTCTGGATCTCCCATCTAACTCAAACATTTTCAATGACCAAATGCACTTACTTTTCACTAGTTTGTAAGGGTCGCAGATAGCTAGAAAGCATTGTCTGTAATTCCTTAGCATATTCATTTTCTGTTTCCAGAATATTCTGTAGCACCTACAACACATAAAACTTTAAATCAAAATGTTACAATTATGAAGAAAAAAACAAGAAGTGTTAGACATGAAAATTCTTTGAAAATGTTTTATTCTTCAGAAAAGGCTATAATGTGAAAAATGAAAATTCTCAAGAGTATGCAATGACCCCAGAAAAGAGATAAAAATTAGAGGACTTGTCATAACTCAAAAGAAAAACATGATTTATAAGCAAAAATCTTAACTTCAGATAGGCCTGGAAAATCTAAACCCTAGAGAACTCATTGACAAATCATATACAGTAGATGGATCTATTGTTTCTGTATAAGGAAAAAAACTTGCATTTAAATACATTTTAGTTACTTAAGTCAATGATAGCTAAAGTTTTCTAGTTAGTGTGCAAAAAGGAAATTTAGTGACTAGTACATGTTCTGCAGCTTTTTCTCTGGTTTAGAATGATATTACTATAACCTATTTATATTAAAGTCAATTAAAAATTGAATTTGTGTCTTCTAGGATACAATTTTAATAATATGTAATCTGATTCAGCAGCAATACAAATACAATTCCAAATCTACTGCTATGCTGTTTTACATCTTTATTAGAATTATAGCAAAATTTTATTATTGCATCTTAATAATATACAGTATTTCACAATTTAAAGAAATACAAATAAACAACCCAATAACTAACATTTTGATAAAATCAATCAAACTGGATCTGTCTCCCAGGAGTTTTATAATCTTCAGATATTATACAATGCAGCCAACTTATAGCCTGCTTGGTATATAAAACAGTTATTCATGCCTGAATGAAAATCTGATGAAACAAGGGACAGAGTACACTGTTTAAAACTGGGAATTTGTAGGTTCTTTCATTAGTGCTGCTGAGATCAGTTTGGGGGCCTTGAATAGGCCTATTCACTTGAAAAGCAGAGGAGGAAGGGAGACTATTTCTGAGTTCATTCTTTTGTTGGTAACTTGACTCCTGCCCCAAAGATTAAAATGTCTCCATTCTGTACTAAGCACTACGAATGACAGATGTTACAAAGAACCTTAAACTGTGAAAACAGCAGTTTCAAACTACAGTACAAAAAGGATTTGAAAAACTAGAAAAATCAAGAAAGTTTAGACCATTTAAATTTAGGAAAGTAAAACACAATAGCATACAATCAGCAGATTACTGAAAGGAAGTTAGGCTAAACAACAGAAAATCAGCAAACCGTTTTCTAATCCAAAAATAAATTAAGTCATAATTGACTTAAATCATGGGAAGGGGAATCTAAAACAAGGATTCACCAAGCAACTCATCCAGTCAGGTTTTTAAGTACTACACAGATAACTAAATGCTACTAATACACACTGTTGTGTGTTCTAATTGCACAGATCAAATTGCTACTTAGACAATAATCATAAAAATGTGTTTAATGTAAATATGTTTTTCATTCAACTATCTTTTTAGGGGTTAATAAATAATTTTTGAACTTAAAATAAATACAGGTATCCTCTCTAATTTGAACAAAGATTATATAAAAAAATAACTTAATGCTGAAGATGAATTGACAGACAATAACAATTTAATCAAAGCAAAGTGCATCTTTCTCAATTCTCAAGGGCTCAATTCTTTAAATCATCTTACATTTCCCACATTCATAAAAAACTGCTTAAAATGTCTATTTTAATTTTAGGGATCATACAAACGTTTTCTTCAAAAAGTAATACGTTTACTTTTTACACTCTCCTTTACACAGATGCTATATTTATCACCAATGCAGAGAATACTGAGCACTATAATTGCAGCAGTAAAACTGCAAATACATTAGTACTGTACAGCACATTTTACTCGGCTGAACTTAATAATTTCTGATGTCCCCATCACGTTTCTACTTTAATAATCACCTTTCTCCTCTTTTCTGTTTTCTGCAGATTCAGACTGCTACAAGACCCCATTATATTCCAAACCTGATTCTGAAAACTTCATCACCAATTCATGAAATGAGGTTACTAAATGTGGATTGCTCTCAGAGACATGGTAACATTTTACAATGTGGAATATAAATGAAACACCCAGAGAATCCCATGTGAGCGATCCAGAAAAAAATAAAGTACATCAAAAGTTCATTCACACAAAGCCCAGCTACTCTCCCTAAAGCAAAAGCTCTTGTACAGCATTGCTTTAAAACTGAATTTCTTAAAGGCATCTCCCACTGTTAGATATTCCAAAACCCAGATTTATTTCACAAAAACATGAAGTATAAAATATATTCCCTAATGATAAAATTTGTCATGTTACATATTTAGGAACTATTGCTGAAAACAAAGGTGCATGATTTATCCACTTCTATGCATACTGCATATATGTCTCCATCCATCAGAACAATCTTTTTTTTAAATCTGACTTATGAGAAATACAGAATGATGTAAATCAAAGATCCATAATAATCCTTACACATATATTTCACATTCTGAAATAATCCAATGTGAAATTTAACTTTGCAGTTCTATAATGAGATTATTTAATATTAACCAAGCCTACCCTGTTTCTCCAACAATACAGCCTCCCCCAATAGGAAGTCCCAGCATGTTTTATAGGCATGAAATGAAATTAAGCCCCTCCCCCCAAATTAAGGCCTATATTAAAACATGCAAAATGGGGGGAATGGTGGGGGAGGGGCTTGCCATTAGGAAGTACTTTTGTTGCACACCCAGATATGGTGCTGCCTGCGTTGACCCCAATACGAAGTGCCCCACCAACGCCGAGATCAACATCCAAGCCATTGCCGCCCGCCCGAAGATGCAAGGGGGGGGGAATTAAGTCACCCCCAAAAAGACAGCCTAGCCATTTTTTCAGGGCTCAAAAAAAAATAAGACCCGGCCTTATTATATGAGAAACACGGTAGATATTATACCAGTTTCAGAAAAAGCTAGAAAAATAATTACTGTATACTCAAACCATCAATCAATTACAGTCTTAATTCCTCAGACACTGGCCACTCCACCCACTGTTTTAGCTCTATTAGAGACATCAAAGAAAATGTCTGAATGAACTTTAGTTTTCTGGAAAATATCAGCTAAGCAGATCTCCTGAATAAAAAACACACCTGTTATATATTTTAATGCACAATCTGTCATATGGCAAAAGCCTTAATTTGTTATTTTGTCAATCACACAGTCTCACTCTAAAAGCTGTTGTGAGATTTTCTATGCTCCAACAGATGTTCAAGAAAAATGTTTTTTTTCCTATCAAAAATGTGGTACAGGTATTATAACCTAACAATCACAAATGAAAAAGATACAGTGACTAAACTATTAAATACATATCTGTTTTTCTCCCTTTACGCTTGCCAGCATCTTGTTCAACTTTTTTTTCCATTTTATGATTATACAGTTGGAGGTTGGATGATGAAATAAAAACACTTCATCCTTACAAATTTTTCCAATTTTGGAATAGGTGGGAAAAAATTTACTATCATTGCCACTTTCTGAAATAAAACTGAAAATGCAAACAAGAGTTATAGACAATTCTTAGTGAACCATCTGGATCTTCAACTAGCAGAAAAAAATTGTGCTAAGAAAATGGAAAACTGTGTTAAATCAAATGTATTCATGATTATCAACCAACCCATCTAGTACATGGATCAAGACTAATACTGAAATGAAAAATTAGAATTAGTATAATATTCCAGTGTATCTATTACACTTGCCACTAGTTCTCAGGGAATTTCTAAAACCTTTTGAGCCAGCAAGTTAAATATAAATAGAACTGTAAAGGTAGGCTCATTTAATAATTAATTAATATCAAACATAAAAAAGGTGGCATGGAGACAGCCCCTGGGAGCACAACTCCCCTCCAGTAAAAAAAAAAATTCTACTAAAGCAAAATACTTGACGCCAATGGTATTGACACAGTAATGGTGATATATAACAGCTTTGCGATGATGAGGAATATTCAAGAAGCAGAACAGTTGTACAATTCTGCCTATGTCTTATAGTGCCAATTTAGCAATGCTGGGTTTTTAAGATAATTTAAATGCAGAGTTAGGTATATATCAACAGTTATCCATAGTTGTATCCTACCCTCAGCAGTGTTCAACAAAGACAGTATTCAGAGACAGAAGAGACTGTATAGTATGTGAATGTTGGGCTCTGCAACTAATAGGAAAAAGTTGGGAAATGATGTCATGCAAGAAGTAGTTAGTATGGACATCTGCAAATTCAACAGTAACTGCAACTTTAAGGTCTCATTCACAGAAGATTGATGGAAGGCTTGAAAGGAAACAGCAGGGAGTCAGTTCAATAAGTATTTGGCCAAAAAGGCAGGAATCAGAGGGAGTCACATACTCCCAGGGGAAGATTGAAGCTTCCAGGTCTATTAACCAAAAATGAAAGTAACAATAAAAGTAATAAGCAATAAAAATGGAAAATGGAAAACACAAGCAGAAAGCAGAGAAAAACAAACTAAAAAGAATAGGCATGTGATTAACTTCAGAATGAGGAACAAATGAAGTTTACACAAGCCAGCAAATTCACCACTCAAACGAGAACTTATCTGGAATGCAATGTTTTTTTTTGAAGTGAAGCAGGTAGATTTCCAACCTCTTCCCTATAAAGACTCCAGACAAGGTTACTGCACAGACATCAAACTTATCTGCTGCATGAGACCATAGGGAAATAAGGGCTAACAGTGGACATAACCATGCAAAATATTATTCAGCATCAGCCTTCATAATTTATTATACATTTTTTTACTATGTAAACTTATATAACCACCCAACTCACAGATATGTGACCCTGGGTGGCTTATAACATTAAAAAATAGGCTGTATAATTGTTAACGTTGGTCCTTAAACACATGACCTGTAGAATGCACAAACAGAAGATGGAAATGGGTGCCAAGTCTTCTAGATTTTAAAAACAGATGAGAGATGAAATTCCTGGATCTTGGCTGGTCACAAGGTAGGCATGACTGAATTTTTAAGGTATCACTGACTTTCTTGTTTTAATTATTTATAGGTCCTGCAGATCTACCGTATATGCCGGCGTATAAGATGACCCGGCGTATAAGACGACCCCCCAACATTTCCACTCAAAATATAGTTTGTTATATACTCGCCCCCTCTTCCGCACGCCTTCCACTTTTGCACTTTTTTTTTTTTTTGAGGCACTTTTGCGCACCGTGGAAACGAATCCCGTGAAGCCGAAAGGAGCAGCCAGCCTTCTCCCAGCTCCCAAGGAAACGAGGCTCGCACCGCCCGGGCTCCGCTGAGGTATCCGGCTGGGGCTGTCAGGAGTTGTTACCGCTGGCGCGGCTCCGCGCGGCTCCAGTCCCGCATTGCCTCGGGAAGGGAAAGGCAAAACCAGGAGCCGCTGCTGCAATTCCTGGTTTTGCCTTTCCCTTCCCGAGGCAACGCGGGACTGGAGCCGCGCGGAGCCGCGCCAGCGGTAACAACTCCTGACAGCCCCAGCCGGATACCTCAGCGGAGCCCGGGCGGTGCGAGCCTCGTTTCCTTGGGAGCTGGGAGAAGGCTGGCTGCTCCTTTCGGCTTCACGGGATTCGTTTCCACGGTGCGCAAAAGTGCCTCAGCCGTGGGCAGCCGCAGTGCTTCCCAATTACTATTTGCCGGCGTATAAGACGACCCGGCATATAAGACGACCCCCCAATTGGAGGCATGTTTTTCAGGGCAAAAAAGTCATCTTATACGCCGGCAAATACGGTATATCCTTTGGAAAAAATACACTGATTTCAATGTACAAACCTAAACAAAAACCAACTGTTAAATAAGATTCACATAAAGTCACTCACCACATTGTAATAGCTTTTGCTAATAGCAGTTGTATCAAACCCTTTTGGAGGACTTTTCAAGCTTCCTGATTTGGGAGAGACAGGTTTTTCTGAAACAAAGATTATTTCAACAATAAAATATATATTCATATCTTAAAACCTGATAATCAAACAATGCACTGAAGACAATATTTAGACTGATTTACTTTAAGTTATATAAATTTACTTTAAGTTATATATCTGTCATCTGCGACTCTATGACCTCTATAACTGTCTGCTTTGGCTCTGCAACCATACAAGACAGGCACAGACTTCAACAGATAATTAGAACTGCAGAAAAAACAATTCTACCAACCTACCTTCTATTGAGAACCTGTATCCTGCACGAGTCAAAAAGAAGGCTGTGAAAATGTCTATAGACCCCTCACATCCTGTATATAAATTGTTTCAAATTTTACCCTCCAAACGACGCTAGGGTACTGCACACCAGAACAATTAGACACAAGGATAATTTTTCTCCGAATGCCATCACTCTGTAAAACAACTAATTCCCACAACACTGTCAAATTACTTACTAAGACTGTATTATTATTATTATTCTCATCCTTCCTAGTACCTATCTCTTCCCACTTATGACTATAACCATGTTGCTTGTATCTTTACAAGTTATATTGTTTTATTTGTTTCTGAGTATTTGATTGCTTATTAGTAACCTATGACTATCACTA